AAAGGCCCGAGATAACATGGGGTTAGCTCGTTAAACAACTATAATAAAGTCTCATGCAGTCTGCATCAAAAAAATAAAAATAAAAAAATAAAATCTGAACACACATGTAAAACTTTTGTTAATGACAAAACTATAATTCTTATCTTACAATAAAAGCATGTGAGTTTTAAATATGTTTATATTCTAAGAGAAAGTGAGCTTGTGGGCTCTTATATATCCCCAGGCTTACCTTTCCTATAGATTAATAAATCTGGAGGGAGGGTATTTTCTATCTCAAATAAAGGTAACTATAGTCAATGCTGAGAATGACTATTCTAAAAGCCCCTTTTATTTCCTTCTCTCCCTCCTCCTCTTTCCCAATCCTCATAATTTTGATTTTGCTGTGCTTTGCTCCTTTATTTATTAAATACTATTTTTGTTAGAAGGAAATGGTCCCATGATCTATGCTTTCTAGTCCAGGGAGAAAACACAGGAAGGTCCCTAGTTCTGGAATGCCTGAACTTGAATTACAATGCTGTTACCTACAATGTGTATACTTAGAAGTTATGTAACCTCTCAGAGCCTCAGTCACAGGCCTGCAGTCACTGGACAAGCACTCACTGCTTTGGTTCATTAACAAGTATGTGTGTATATAAGTTTTGCCATGCTTTATATGACACAAAAATATTAATTGGCTTGTAGTATCATTTACTGAATTAAAGTATTTTTCTAATTGGCTATAACTAGTATTTCCTATGTTCTGTTCAACTATAGCAGTAAATATTTCCAAAGCTCTGAAATAATTGTTACAAAATCTGCAGCATTGCCATTATTAACTTGCACAGACTAGCAAAGAATGTCACAAATTTCCTTGATAAGTATCCAAGAAAAACAAAATAAATCATAACCAGTGTTTAAATGAATCTCACACTTTATAATTTCACCTGTATTGTGTTGATGACTGTATTGTATATTTTGAAACAAATACATATAATTTTGCTTTGGGGCAAATGGGAATGCAATTTCTAAAATAAAAGAAAAATAAACTGACATGAAATTGCTTACTGCATTAGAAAGTACTAAAGAACAAATTCAGTTTGCTTACCATCAACTCAAAAAAGAACCAGGCTTGCTGCAAAGCTGATTCCCGAACGCTGCCACTGCAAACAACCCACTGCAAAGCCAGTTCCTCATGAAAAAGCTATCCAGAAGCAAAGTCAAGGTTATTATCAAAGTCAAAGCTGCTGATGACATAAAGCAAATGACAATGCAGGTACAAATGAAGGCATAATGAGAGTAAGCTGAATCGGGCACATGAATCACTGGATGATGCAGTGGAGACACCCATTAACGAAACGACTACTTATGCATGAAGACAGTGTGACATGTCCAAAGCTGAAAAATTACATGTTATCTTGGAGTAAAATGTAATTTTAAAAGGACAAGCAGGAAATAACTTCCTAAATTGCACTTGCAAACCAAAAACTAGACCAAAACCTCATAGCTACAAATTGTATTTTGCTTGTATATTAAATACATATTTGAACATATAATACACTCATCAACTTTGCTGGTACAATTTAGGAAATACCATTACAAATTTAAACTTTTCTATGTGCTATTACGTTTCAGGTGTTTAAGATGTATTCTTAAGGAGCAGAAACTTCCTTATAATGGAAATGCATACAAAGCACTTGCGAAGTAGCACAGATCACTATGAGAGGACTAACACGACTGTGCATAAGGGGCAAGTCAACATCGCTTACTAAGAGTGACAACTTTTCTAACTCATCTTCCTTTCCCTGGAGATTTAAAACAAAACAGAAGCAGTTACAGAAACAGAATTAAGAGTCGATACATTTTTCTGGTATTAAAATTTGATTATCTAATTTGAATTACTAAATTCTAGTCAGTCCCAAAGACAGAAACATCATCTTATGTAAACCAGCCCTAAATGACAGTGGTCTGCCCCAAAAGGCACCAGACAAGCACTGCTTGTTCAAATATGTCTTTAGACACCATAAAATTATTTTAGTAACTCAGATTGGTTATGTAAAGAAACATTATATGTTTTTTATTGTTGGAATTACTTTCCCCCTCTGTGAACTGTCTTCTTATGAATCTACCTTTTTAGTTGGCAAGCGTCCCGTTAATGTTTGTAAGAAACTTGACGTCTCTGTGTGCGAAGACATACGATTACAACTTCGATCCATAGCCTATGAAGTGGGGATGAATGAATGACGAGATAACATTAACACTGCAGTGATGACTTTGAAGTTCAAGGACTACATACAATTTTCAAACATTTTTATTATTTCTGGTTCATTATACTATTTTAGCCGCTTTAAAAGCAAGTATGAAAATTGTTTCTATATTTTAGTCTTTAAGATGAATTATCTTAATGATTTTAACAGAGTGCTGCAAAGAATGAAACTTATCTGTGTAATCTACACATGCACATATCTAGTGAAAACATAGGAAAAGAAAAAAAACATACTTCTCGACTGGTGTCTGACAAGAAAGAAATCAAGAATTTTGTACTTAATAAGGAAGATTAAAACTTAGAATTTTTACTTTTTTCTATTAAAAACAGCATTTAACTTTATCATAAACAATATCCAATATAAATCAGTTATAATCTTAAACAGAAAATTGGGTTCTGTTTTAGGAATAAGAGAATTTCCCTTCAAAGCCAATACACAAGTAAGAAGTATATTTTGATACATCATGCAGTTAGTTATCAAGCAACTAGTCTTAAATTACATGTTATAATTGTAACAAATTTCATACTTTGCAACACAGTACAAATTCAATGGAGTTTTCCTTCTAGCATTCACTCTGACAACATGCATACTGTACACTTCAGATTTATTTGTATTAAACTTCAACTTACTACCAGTCTTTCTACTTGGTGATTATGAAAACGAGATAAGGTAATAAGGGTCACGGGAAACAATATGTTTAGGTATACTTTAAAATAAATGGAAAACTGTTGGTTGTTCTCTATGTAAAAATTTCCTACTATAGATGTATCAGCCATGAAGAGAACCTGTTACAAAACTATTAATGCATCAGCATCAGGCATGGAGACACTGGTACAGTGTGTAAGGAGGAGGCAGGAGGAGACAGAAAACGGAAAAGGAGAACATTACTGGTGCAACTGGTGGTATTCATGCATAGTAGTTGGAAAATGTGCTAAATAAAAACACACGCTTATAATGATTAAAAAAAAAAAAAAAAAAAAAAAAAAAGAAAGCCACTGAAATCACAGCATGTACTAAAGGTAACATTCTAAAGGGAAACATCAGCAGCCAAGAAAGAAACCTATAATGTAAACACCACCTGTGTTGGTTCTGCACTTGGACTGGGGTTGGCTCCCCATGGGGCAGCTTTTGGACCAGTGTTAACCCAGGAATTGGAGCGATCTAAACCCTAAGCACATAATAGAGAGCAGTTGGAAAGGAGAGAAATGTTACATGGTGCATGCTATGAATTATTCCTAAAGAAATCCACACCCTGCCCCCGATGCAAAATGTTCTTCATTAGTACTGTTAAAGCAACCAAAAATAACCTCAGGTACATAAAGAATATTAGTTCATTCACATTATCTTATCATATAACATCCTTTTTAAAGAAAAGAATATTAAGTATAGTATTTAAAGATCATTTCTATATAAAGTGATTGCCCTGAAGTACAAACCACAGAAATCTCTACAGCATTAACTCAAAATGCTTCTTAAAAATCGTACAAATTCTCAACTGAACTGAGACTTGGAAGGGAGTAGGAGATGGGGGTGAGGTGGGGAATGGCCACTCTGTGCTATAAGACTTTAACTTCATTGCATTTCTTACTAGCTGAAAGCTACTATGGAGCAAGATCTCTGCAATTCTGTTTGACACTGCCTCTTCTTTCTTTTAGAGAATAGAAAACATAAAGGAAAATACTATTCAAAGGAACAGCTAAATTTGTTCCTTCCTAGTAACAACAGTGAACTTGAAGTTGTGGCCCTTTTTATTATTATTCTTCATTAGATATAATGGGGTACTATTCTACAAAATATTATAAGAAAAACATTATGTCTCCCTCTATGAATTATAACTTCATCATCACTGTCATTAAATTTGAGTGTTAGTAACTATTAATAAATATGCCAGAAACGAAGTATTTTTTCCTGAAAGAAATCACTGATTCCTGGTGAAGTTAGCTGAGGCTTCACTTCAATTTCCCAAGTCTAAGGGATCAACAAAATCATAAAAATGCTTTATAAAATTCGGATTCTGTGCCCTCAACTTCCTGCCTTCAAATTCAACTAAAGGCAGAGGACCTGGTAAATGAAGTAGGAGCAAGTTGTAACAGATGTTTGGAGGATTTAAAGGCAAGAATTACAAAGACGCCCAAAGCAACCTGGTTAAAACACTAGAGCAGAGAATGTACTGGAACTAGAAACTACCAAAGTTAAGGGAAATAACCACTGCTTGGAGTTTTGACTTTAGGGAGAATATTTTCTCTACTCTCTTTTCTTCCCACACACCAAGCAGTTGAAGTAATTAATGTTACTATAATCACCCACTGTGGTGGTCTGATTGAAAATGGCCCCACGGGCTCATAAGGAGTGGTGGCACTGTTAGGAGGTGTGGCTTTGTTGAAGGAAGTGTTTCACTGGGGTTGGGCTTTGAGGGTTCAGATGCTCAAGCCAGGCCTAGTGACTCACTCTTTCTTCCTGCTGCCTACTGATCAAAATGTAGAACTCTCAGCTACCTCTCCAGCATGATGTCTGCATGCCACCATACTTCCCACAACTGATGTAAATGGCCTAAACTTCTGAACTATAAGCCAGCCCCAATTAAATGTTTTCCTTTATAAGAGCTGCCATGGTCATGGTGTCTCTTCACAGCAAAATAAACCCTAAGATACCCATTTTCCTTCATTTCTAAGAAGGGAGTCACAGTTTATTAAGACTCTGTCTTGCTTACTAATTTAAAAATCTAAAATAAATGACTTTTTTACTCAGTTTCTCATCCACAAAATAGAAATGATGACAATTTTCCCTTGTTTTAAGGACAGTCAAATTATAATGTCTTGGAGGGGACAGAGACTAGAAGTCATTTTTACAAAACTTTTCCAGAGATTAAAATTTTGTATTTGAATTAGCTATTTTTAATGATTATACTGCCTTCACAAATGTATGTGCAAACTTCTTTAATAACTTCTTTTTAAAATAATGTTTGTGGTAAGAATAAAAGAATAAAATATCAGTTTTCTGTCAGCTATATTTCATATATACAACGTGGATGCTCTGAACAGTTATAATTACACATCAAAACATAATTAAAGACACCATGTAATCAGTTTGTGAAGCAAGTAACTTTCATAATATAAATGTTATAAAACTGAATTATATATAAAAATATAACAGTCCTTAAACAAATTCATTACTGAGAGATACTAATGTAACAACTTTCTAGACCTCCAAAAAACAAGGAAAAGGTAAAACGTATCCAGCTGTGTGTGTTTTTCCCTAATGTTGGTACTACTATTTTGTCTTACTTTGTAGGTAGACAAACCTTTGACTGGTGAGGCAGAGCTTAATAAGATACTCTGGGGGTTAACAGGGGTTGGAAGATGGGAATTCTACTAGAAACACAGACAATGACAGCCTGGCCTGTGAGGCCTCCTGGGTAACGAACTCTTCCGGGATCTTAGCTGGGAGGGGCATGCATGATAGTTTGGCCAAGAATCTGGTTTTGCCTCTGTCCTGAGAAGCTGAGTAAAGTTGAATCTAAAGATAATGGATTAGTTAATTTGTGTGACACAGGAAATTTCCAAGAAGGAACAGTCAGATTGTGATAAGAAAGCAGCTGAGTGGCACTGGGACAATAGGAAAGACACCTTGAAGGTAATTGTGAAAACCCAAATTCATTAAAAAAACAAACAAACAAACAACAACAACAAAAAACAAAGTTTAAATTGATGGGTTCCCTGATCTTCAAATGCAACTGTCTAGGGAAGTGTTTCCCTGGGATCAGCACACTGAAGCTGAGACAGTTGTGTCCCGAAAAACCTACACTACATCTTGAAGTGACAGTATAACTTAGCAGTGCCATCACCTGGCCCTGTTTTTCAAAGCATGAAAGCTTCAAGGCAGAGAAGCAACGACGACAGTGTTGGAGTCCCTTGGAGGAGACCCTAAGCAGTCACTGTGCAAAGCTATGAAGATAAAGCCCAAGTGCCACTGAAGACCTCAAGATACTGGAGATACTGAAGCATAGATTAAGGAGAACTGTGGACACAGAAAGGAACTGGCCTAGGAGAGACTCTAAGTGTTTCAAGGGCAGCAGAGGTGGAGGTGTGGCGTTACTCAAGCCTTTTGGAACTCAGCTGACTATATTATGAGCCCCAGATGCCAGACACAGAGCTGCAGGATGTGGTCTTTGCCCAGCTGGATTCTGGTTTTGCTTTGGTGTGATTGTTTCTTGCCATATCCCAGTTCTTCCATTTGGGGATGGGGATATTTATTGTATGTCACTATCTGTTGTAAGTACTCAGCATGTGGTTTTTTGTTTTGTTTAGTTTTGTTTTAAAATGAGAGATTTGGAATTTTAAAGCGTAGGAACTGTTCATCACTACGAAGATTTGTAAAGATGGAGTGAATAAATTTTATGTTATAACTTGGTCACAAGCCTATAGAATCAAGGGATAGTAAGTTTAAAGATGATTTGGTTGGATGCCAATTGACAATAGGTGGACTTGTAGTGACTGGTGTTAATTACCAACTTGACAGAATACGGAATTGCCTGGGAGATGGTCCTTTGGACATACTTGTGGGGGATTGTCTGGATTACACTAAATGGCATGTGAAGGTCCATATTAATTGTAGGCAGGACTGTTCTCTGGGCAGAAGATCCTGACCTATATAAAATGGAGAAGGTGAGCTGAGACCTGTATGCGACTGCCCCCCTCTGCTTCTTTGTCAATGGTGCAAGGTAGCCAGCTCACCAAAGCTCCTGCCACTGTGCCTACCCTGACATAATGGACCACAACCTGGAAGTGTGAGTTAAAGTATCTGCTTCCTCTGTCGATGTGTTTTATCACTGTAACAGGAAAAGACACCAAGCACTGGCTACACAAGAATTAAGAATCTTAGTAGACCTCAGTGGGAATTGTCCTTCTAAGTAAAATCTTACATGATCTGAGAGATCTGGTCATAGAAGGATCATGCTTAGAGGAATGATACAATCTGACTTAATTTCTTTTGTGTTTCTTAATGTTTAAAGCAACACTCTAGATGTTATGGTGGGAACAGAGGTAAATTAACAGCAGAGTAACATCTTAGGGTTATCATATTAATTCAGGGAGATCTGCTAACATACCAAACTATGACAGTAGCAATGATAAAACATCTTACGAAAAGTCTTTGGTTCAGCCTCCAGCACAGGAGAAAACAGAAAATAAACAAACTAAACACAAAACTGCAAGGCTCTCCTTTAATATAAATGCAATCTGAAAAAGGACTTAGAAAAACAGCTAAGTGGAATTCCTGAGAGAGATCTGTACTGAAAAGTAAGTTGAGTAATGATTTACCTAGCACTTATAAAAGCCCTGAATAAAACACGACTTGTAAAATAAGAGATTGTCAGAAAAGGAAGAACTCGGAAAAGAATATGAAAAGACAGAAACAGTAAACTATGAAGAAACTAAGACAATGTAGAGTCTGAGAAGCCAAGCAAACTGAACAAAAGAAAAAGAAGCATTTGTGTCAAAAGTACTGGCAGGAGGACTAGAGAGGTGGCTTGGAGAAATGCCAAGAGCATGGGCTGCTCTTGCAGAGGCTCTGAATTGGGCTCCTAGCACCCAGTCACACAGCTCACAACTGCATGCAACTCCAGCTCTAGGGAATTTGATGCTCTTGTCTGGCCTTCACAGGCACCTGCATATACATCCACACATCCATACACAGAAACACAAATACATAATTAAAAATGAACAAAAATAAACACACTGGCACATAAAAGAAACCAAATTTGGATACATAACTATTGGGTTTTAGCAAGGTAAAGAACATCTGTAATATTTAGAAGTGCAGTTTTGGGGGGAGATAGTAGGAAAATTAACTGAAGACAGTAAAGGAACTGAAGAGAAAATATACAAAATAAAAGAACTGAAGACACAAAGTATAAGGGACTATACTTTAAGAGACTGCAGAGATGGCATTACGGCATATGCTTTTAATCCCAGCATTGGTTTCAGGACATACAAGCCCCTCAAATAAAAGAGAAAAAGCTAGCAGAAAATAGCATAGAAAGAAAAAGCAAAACCAAAATAGGGAATTTTGAAAGTGAGAAATAACACACCTGTCTGTGGATGAAAATGATTTAATATGTAGGAAAAAACTGGTAATGCAGAACTAGACTGGGGCTCCTGAGTAGATGAGCAAAGAAGGAGACTCACAGACAAGACACTGAGGACTGGGAACAAACAGAGGTTTGCCTCCCTCAGAAGACTGAGCAGCAGGTAAGTAGCTGGCAGACATGATGCAGAACATCAAGAAGGGGGGTAGTAGTAGGTGGATTATGAGAATAAATCATGGCAGGATGAAATAGTGAAAAGAGCACAAAATGACCAGTTAACAGCAGTACAGGAATTACAACGAGGCTAGCTGCCTGAGGTAGTTCAAATGAACAAATAGGGAGTGGCCCTATTAGGAGACGTGGCCTTGTTGGAGTAGGTGTAAGTCAGCCCCAATTAAATGTTTCCTTTCTAAGAGTTGCTGTGGTCATGATGTCTCTTGCCAGCAACGGAACTCTAAAACACTGCCATGTTTCAACACAACTGGTTTTAATGATGGTTTCAAGTTTGAGAAGAAAAGAAATTAAGGTTTGAAGGAGGTAAGAACATATAATGGCTGATTCTGACTAGATAGGATGACTAGTTAAGAGAAAGAAAATCTGTTAAGGCACTTCTCCTTCTCTCCTCCCACAAAAAAATAAAACAAAACACAATTAAGTGATAAGAAGCTAAAAGAAAGAGGAAACTACCAGAGTTGGGACACTAGAAAGAAAAATAGAGAATGATCAGACAACAAAATGCATGAAACTGAAATTAAGAAGGCTGTTATTGGTAAGACCATGACTGAGATAAAAGACAGTATCTCTAAAGGAGAAGGGGTCACTGGGCAACAAAATAAGAACAAATGAAGAATAGGTATGAAAAAATTTGGACTCTAACATTTCATGAGATTAAAGTATGTTATTAACATTAGGGTAAAATATGCAAGTAATTATCAGTTTTTCCATCAAAGGGGGAAAATGTAAAACTAGTTAACATAAAACCTAACTAGATCTGGTTGGCAGTACACACCTGTTATCACAACACTTCGGAGGTTGATGAGAGAGAGGAACAGGAGTTCAAAGCCAGCCTGTGCTACATAATGAGACTGTCTCAAAAGAAAAAAAAAACTTAATTAAAATAGAACTGAGCTATTACAAGACAAATTTTCATGCTATGATAAACTTAAAAAAAATTAGTATGCACATATATATGTATACTGATTTCATATATACATATGTGAACAAATTGTAACTATATTGCATTTAATGACCTTTTAAAAAGCACAACTAATCAATTAATATAGACCTCCTTATTCTAAACTACCAAATTATATAACAAATACATAAAGAGTTACTTGTTGTATGAGGTTACAGAAATGTTACAGAAATTAAGGGATTTTTAAAGGTAATATCTTAAGGAACACGTTATCTATAGCCTTTGGACAATAAATATTTGTAGTTCACAAACCTGACTCACTGAACTACAGGCCTATATTTTGTAGTATATAAATGCTAGGTACTGCCCCTACTAAGCAAGAAATAATTGAAGACAAAAATAATATTAAAAATCTTGAATATACCAGGTGTTGGTGGCGCACACCTTTAATGCCAGCACTTCAGGAGGCAGAGGCAGGTGAATATCTGTGAATTCGAGGTGAGCCTGGTCTATAAAGCAAGTTTCAAGACAGGCTCCAAAAGCTACACATAGAAACCCTGCCTTGAAAAATCTAAAGACAAAAAAACTTAGTTTCCTAAGCTTAATCTCAGAGTTATCTTTGTGGGGTTTTTGTTTGTTTATTTGTTGGGGTTTTTTTGTTTTGTTTTGTCTTGTTTTTTTTTCTTTCTTTTTTTTTTTTAATTCAAAAGAACCCCCCCCCCTTTTTTTTTTTTCAAGACAGCGTTTCTCTGTGTAACACCTCTGGCTCTCCTGGAAGTTGCTCTGTAGACCAGGCTGGCCTGGAACTCACAGAGATCCACTTGCCTCTGCTTCCCAAATGCTGGGATTAAAGGCATGTGCCATCACCACCTGGCCTATCTTTGTTATTTTATGTATAGAAAAGTAATTTTCCTGAAAATTTTTTGTGGAATAATAATGGAGGCTCTGAATAAAGTATAGGTGGGTCTTATATAACTTAAAAGGGCCTCTCTTGCTTAGAGTAATTACTAACCATTATTACATAATCACACTTCTGTAATCCTACTACAGTTCACACAGGATCATATGAAATGTAGTTCTATTACCCACCAAAGCCAGTAACTACACAGGATGCATTTCTGATGGAAGAACTCACACTTGAACTCAATGACAGCATGCTTCTTGTATATATTAGTCATACAGATCTCCCCATACTATAGCATCAATCTAAGAATTTTTAAATGGGATATCAGAAAAGTCATATATGATGATTTATCCTGGACAAATTTTAGAACTTGGCAGATTATTTTTTAATGTACAATGTACAGACCAGTTTATAACAGCAAACATATTTAATAGAAACATGGAAAATATTTACTGACAGAATAGGAATACAAACTTCTTGCTTATTCCTAACTGAAGTCAAACAGAAAAACAATTCTTTGCTTATTCTGAACTCAAATATATCTTAAAATTAAGAATACATTAAATACTTGGGTAACTGTTATAAATGGATAGTCATGTCTTCAGTTTACCTTACTGCCAATGATTGACCGAACTTCATCATCTGGTGATGTGGGAGTGCCAGATATATCTGGATTACTGTTGCTAAGGCTTCGAGAACGATTTAAGTTAAGGCTTGCAGGTCTCACAGCAGACCTAGCCATTGTGGCATAATGCACTGATCCTCCCAAACCCCCAGGACCTAGAAATGCAAATAAGGAGTCCATAGTTAATAAGAAAGGAAACCAGAAAAGGAGCACAAGAAATAACTGAACACTTTACAAGATCCCACAAAAATTATGAATTGCTTTAGTTTCCAAATGAAAATTAACACAGATTTTCATTACCAAAAAAACATTGTAAGTAAAAATACTCAAGAACCAGTGACAGCTATATAAAGTTCTACTTTGTAACATTTGACATAAACCATATGAATTATAAATAAAAATCACTCTCTTAAATGCTTCTATATTGTATGAACAATAAAAAATAAAATGAATAAGAAACACTGCCTTTACTCAAACATAGTAGTGATTAGGAAGCAAAGTATGGTAGCTGATATGTTTTCTCTCCTTTTTTGCCTATACTTTCCACTCTGCCCCTGGATATACGGTCACTAGGGACATCCAGTTTATTAGCAACATCACTTAAATGAAAACATGTTTTACTTCTCTATCTTCATGAGTGATGTTAAAAATAACAAAATGGCATCTTTGTTTTATACACACATAAAACAAACAAACCTAAAGACAATTTTAAGAGCCTAGGTTATTTAAAAAAAAAAAAAAAAGCAAAGAATTCCTTTGAATAAAATCAAGCATTTTACCTTCTTTCAAACATGTTCCATAAAAACAAAATTACCCAGAATTATATTCATTACCTACATCTTTTTGTGTATGTTTGTACACATGTATATAAACTGTAAGAGCATGTGGAAGCCAGATATCAACCTCAGTTGTCTTCTTCACTTGCCTATCCACTTAGATTTTAGAGACATGGTCTCTCAATCTGGAGCTCACTCTCAGATTCAGCAGATTCATTGTTCAGCAAGCTCAAGGAATCCTCTGTATTTTCATTATGGGATTAGAAGTGTGTATCACCTCGTGTGACTTAACATGAGTTCTGAGCTCAAACTAAGGTCTTCATGCTTGTTTGATGAACCTTTTACACAATAAGTCCTCTCCCCAGCTCTATCTATTTCACTGAGTTGAGAATATTTTTAAATGTCTTATTGAAAATGACACAAATCTGACAACTAATTACTATATATACTTTTTATGCCAGGAAAAGAAAAAGGCTATATGTAAAATGTGCAAAATCTTAAGACTAAACCAAACAAAAAGGCAGATGGAGAATCATTCAGGGTATTCCATTCTGGATATACCACTATCACTCATATGCTCAGATTCTCAAGTTACACAACTAAAATCAAGATAGTAAATTACAGGTCAGGATAGGAGACAAATGTTGATCTTTTCACAGCAACAACAAAAATTCTAGGCTAAAGCTTAAACCAATAACACTGCCAATAGCTGCAAAGGGGCACGTACCATCATCACTAGGGATGAATGATTGCTTAGACAGCAAACAGGTAAACAGTTTCAAAGGCTAAATAATTAACTAACAAACTAAATGGAAATTCAAAGTCAAATATCCCTCACAAACACCACTATCACCAACAACATACAAAAGACAAGTAACTACCCAAGGCTTTAATATTCAGAAAGCTTATGTTATTTTACCAGTCATGAAGAAATTGGGAAGTTATCTAGACAATCATTTTTATGTTACTATAGACAGAAAATGATTAGTCTACCATGTATCTCCCTAAATGTCCAAAAACACTCTGAATGACAAATAAAATACCCTATTAATTTTAATAAGAGATGATAAAATGCTTTGCTATGGAAAATTCTTTTGTACGCTGTGAAAATTTGTCACTGTCATTGGTTTCATAAAAAGCTGACTGGCAGGTAGCTGAGCAGGAACCTAGGTGGGAAAGCCAAACTGAGAATGATGGGAAGAAGGGCAGAGTCAGAAGCTTTATAATTCATATTCAGCTGCTGAGTCGGTTGCTTGGGAACTGGTGATCAGGACAAGGAACTCCACTCACAATGCTTTCAGAGATGGATGAAGAGATTGTCAAGGTTCATTTATAATAATTCATTTAACCACACTCTCCAATTCAACTTAAAGGAAGCTTTAAAATTAATAGTACCCCTTCAATGACTAACACTGAATGTTCGTTAACAGAGAGTAAGTAAATGTATTGAATGTTTGAATCATACCATGGACTACATGACTGCTTCAGTCTTGACATGAATACATCCTGAAAGACAGTTTAACACTAAAAAGAATAAGATACCTGGTGACGGTGAATTAGGGTAAGTATTTGGCAGTCGGAACACATAATAGATATATGATGCAAGAAGGTTGTTTCTGCCATGCTGGTCATGATTTCCTTCTAAGTTTTTGTGAAGTCGATTTATAATTGATGCCATAGCTTCAAAAGATGCTTGCCCTAGATTAACTTTTCAGAAAAAAGAAAATATTTTTGCTTTAATGTTTTTAAATTTACAGTTCCACAAAAAAGAAGGCTCTGTCTCTTTTATAAAAGGCTCTAAGTAGAGTGATGAGATATGGCAAGTATACAAAAATAGTATACTATTTTGATTTTGATATTTTGTAATAGCTTGACAAAAATTATTCTTGAAAACAAGAGAAATAACATTTTATGAATTAAATGTGAAAACTGTTATGGGTTAGATTAGTTAAAATAAAACACTGTCTAACAGATATACACTATTTTGAAAATAGAAAACACAGAAAAGTCCATCTTATATACAAATCTATCTTATATACAAATCTCATTTTAAAGAGCATACAATAAACTTACATTATTACTTTTAAAGAAATTTAAAATAACAATGAAAATAAATCATTAAAAATAGTAATATGAAAAGAGGATAGTGGGTAAGCAACTTGATTGAAATTACTGAATCTGTAAAAGGATTAGAAGGGGAAGGGACTACAAAAACAAAGTCTCAAAGCACTTGAAATGACAAAATAACCACCCACTCCATCATCCAGGTCCACACACATCAACAACTTTTTATAACCAGGGAACTCTGACAGCACATTGAAGAACTAGGTAAACCAAGAAGACAACTGAACAAGGGTGTCAGCTCTGTTATTTATTTAATCAGGACAGAAAATTATGGACAGATAAATGAGGCCAAGAAAGTTTCCTAAAGGTGAAATAATCAAGTGAAATGGCTATTTCCAAGAGTAAAGAACATATACTGAAGTAAAAGGGCAAGGGGACACAGAGAGAATCTTGTAAAGAACACATACTGAACTAAAAGTGCAAGGGGACAGAGAGAGAATCTTGAGAGGGTTTAGCAGCCTCTGCTCATTGGCTCCTTTCCCTTTTCCCTCATAGTAGCTGCTCCAGATCAGCAGAATCCTTTTCACAACCAGGTCCGAAGAGATAGCTGAGTAGTTAAGAGCACTGACCGCTCTTCCAAAAGACCCAGACTCAATCCCACCACCCACATGGTGGCTCACAACCATCTGTAACTCCAGTTCCAGGCAATCTGATGGCCTCTTCTGTCCTCCATCAGGTGCCATGGAAGTACCTGTACATCTACATACATTCACGCAATACACTCATACACACAAAATAAAAAGTAAATTAAATTATATCTTTAAAAAAATCCATCTTACTCCCCTCTTAGCAATTGTTACCTTCTATATCACTGAGGACATGCACAGAACATGAAAGGCCTCAAATCTATCTACAAATTTACTAGAAACTAAAATTCTATCACCTTTCCAAAAGAAGTGACACCCCTTCCCTAGGAGCAACCTAACTTTACTTTCACTTCATCAACTTGGTTCAATGGGTATTGTATTTTACTCCCATTTTGAAAATGGTTTATCTCAGTATGTAAGCATTCTCACATTCACTTTTCAATTTTTATCTTATTTTATGTGTGTGGGTGTTTTGCCTGCCTGCATATATGTGCATCACTTACATGGCTGGTACCAGCAAGGCCAGAACAGGGTGTTGGATCCCTCTGAGCTGGAGTTACACATGGTTGTAAGCCTCCATGTGGATGCTGGGAATTAAACCTGGATTTCTGGAAGAGCCACCAGTACTCTTAACTGATGAGTCATCTCTCAGCATCCTCAAATCCATTCTTATGCTCTCTACTCAACCTGGCTTTCCATTTCCCTTCTAATCAAACTTTTTTTTTTTTTTTTTTTTTTTTTTGGTTTTTCAAGACAGGGTTTCTCTATATAATAGTTCTGGCTGTCCTGGAACTCACAGAGATCTGCCTGCCTCTGCCTCCCAGAGTGCTGGGATTAAAGGTGTGTCACTACCACTAAAAATTTTATTTTTATTTTATGTGTATGAGTGTTTTGCCTGCTTGTATGTAAGTATATCACATGTGTGCCTGGTGCCCAAGGAGGCCAGAAGAGGCATCAAAGTCCTTTAGAATTGGAGTTGTAGAGAGTTGTAGGCACCATGTAGAGTGGAAATCAATACTAATCAAACTTCCTACATTTCTTTCCTTCAATCAGATTAAACTGTTCTTAAAAACTTTATCAATGGACACTTGTTAGGTGTGAGAAGTACTCTAGAGCCAGTGGCTTGGACTGAATTTAGGCTGTGGTGTTATAGCTTGAGTTACTTGAAGCAAAACTTTTGAATATGTGTGCTCCTGTACTCACCTGTGAAGGGTGGTATGGTTGTCTGAGTACGAAGGACCCCTGTAAGCTCAGATATTTGAATGCTTGGCCACTGTTGATGGAACTGTTTGGAAAGGAGTAGCTTTGTTGGGGGTTATGTGTCACTGGGGGTGGGTATACACTGTTCCCAGTTAGCTCTGTCTGTGCCTCATGTTTGTAGATTGTTAGCTCTCAGCTACTGCTTGAGCACCATGCCTGCTTGTCTGTTGTCATGATCCCCACCATGATGGTCATAGATGCTAATCCTCTGGAACCATGAACCCCAAACTAAATGCTTTAAAAGAAAGTTGCCTTCGTCATGGCACTAGAAGAGTAACTAAGATAGGACTACCCAAGGTTGCTGAGAGGATTTCATACACAAGTGAAAATGAAGCACATAGTGCTATTCTGATCAATGTCTTGCAATTTATCATTGTATCACTATTATTAGTTATTTCATTTCTATAATCTTGAACAAATAATAACTTTCTTTTCTTAAAAGCCATCCACACAGTAATCTTATGAACCCCAATTCATCCTCTTTTCCTTGTTCTATTCACAACTTGCTTTATATTAGGACTTTTATTATTTTGGGGAAGAAACTGTTTGTGACTTCAAAATTGCCTCTGCATCTAGAGCTTTCCATTTTCAACCCATCTCCACATAGTATCTTTTGTGTATGCATTTATGTATGTGAGTGCAAGTGTGTGCATGCCACATCACAGGTGTGAAGGGTGCATATGTGCCAACAGTACATGTGAGGTCAGAAGCCAACCTCAGATGCTGGCCTATCTTCTACCTTGTTTTGAGACAGGGTCTATTTGTTGTTTTTCTACTGTGTGTGCAAGGGTATCTGGCCCATGAGCTTCCAGGGAGTCCCTTTTCTCCATCTCCTACTTCCACATAGTAATGTGGGCATTGCAGACACTCACACTACACATTTGGCTTTTAGATGGGCTCTTGGAGATTTTGAACTCAGGTTTTTCACACTTGCTGTATGTATACCCACTAAGACATCTCTCCTGCCTTATATAGTATGTCTTTAAAGGTAAAATTTGTTCACATTGCCTTCATAATTATATCCAGATTTCTCAAAGGCTAATGTTTCCTATAGAATGATTTTCTGGTTTTAGAAAGTGTGGTAGAAAATCCTACTACTATCTCATGTCTCCCACATAACCTCTATTTTAAAGCTCATCCCTTACATGTCTTCTCATAACCTCCCAAGTTCTTTGCTTCTGTGTTACATGAATGTGGTTTCTTCTCCTTGAACAATATATAAGAATTACTCCTATTCATCTCTGAGTACCTGACTCAAGAGCTTCCTCCACTTACAAGTTCTTTAAGAACATATATCTCAGGTTATGAACAGACACCTCCTTAATGCCACCAGTTATTAATACCAGAGGAGAGCACATTTTCAGGCTCAATTTCTTCCCTAGATGTTTATAGGAAAAGGGTGGGAATGAGTACTTTATTTCAGAGTACAAAAGAGAATAAACAAAGTGATTCTGTGAAAACAAAGAGAAGAGCTCTAGAAAACAGAGGATAACAGATAGATGGAAACGCAGAAACAGATACACTGTGTGCTCTATAAATTTAACAGGATCATCTATTGGCCACTTTTTATACCTACTCTCTGAGAACTTAGTAGCAGGAACCAAGCTTTGGACAGTATCTAATGAGTATCAGATTTAACATAAATGCTTAATAAATCTTTGGTGATTGAATATTAATTTGTTTTGGTAGTCTGATTAAAGGTCTAAAAAATATGTTAATCATTTTCGGGTACATAAAAGTCAGCAGCATCTTCCCAACACCTCCCACCTCAAACACAGAAAATAGAAATGATTCTTTTTAAGATCTAAGCTAAAAATGCAAACTTATAAATTTTGTGATCATCCCAAGTAACCTTAATTACCTATTTGGCCAGCAATCACAGGAGGTCTTACAACTAACAGTATTAGTTTATCAAGCAGAAGATGAAGAAACCGGACTACTGGTTCCAGCTGCGAGGAATTCAAGGCTGAAATGCTGCTCTTCAGTTCATTTTCTAGGTTGTTTTCCATGATCCGCATATCCCCAATTCTAACTGGGAACATGTGCTCATCCAGAGCATTGACAAGAGCAAAGAACTTGTCAAGATAAGGATCCTAAAATGAAGAACAAATACAGAACAAAACAATTATAACCACGTTAATTACCAAACCCACAAGAATCGCAGAACATCAATATTAACTGATAATGTAAAACAGCATATACACACATATACAATACTGTTTCCAATTTAATATATCTTTTCTTACTCATCATTGTATAACAGCCATCTCAAATATCATCAGTTACTTAAGGAATTGTTGGAAGTGATGGAGAATCTCATTTTGAGTTTGAGTTTCCCTAATTTTTTGGAGCTCAATTCTTTTGTCAGGCACTTTAGCAACCTGCATATTTTACTAACTTACTGACTCTTAGCTCATACTCCACCTTTGTTAGACCATGCAATTCAGGTGCTAGATCCTTCCATCCATCTACTCCCTTGTCAGGTGTAGTCTGTGAGGTGATGACTTGAAAGACTAATTCTTACCTCCCTAGTGGCTAGCCATTATGGATATGCATCACAGCAGTGTTGGCTCCCATGCGCCTATGGAAGGTGCTATCCATCAAGTTTCTCTGACACCACAGAATGCTAAGCTCCACATTCCTACAGCAATGGTGTCGTCTTCCCAGAGTCTGGCTGTCAGTCATTAGGAGCTTGCTTTGTTCTTGATTCTCTCGGTCTGCTATTTATTGTTATAATAGGATTCTTTTAATATCCATTTATCAAATTATCTTTAATATTTTGAACAAGTCTGTATTTTCAAGGTTCTCCATTCAAACTGCTAGTGAATTTATCTCCTAACTGAACCTTTGTGCTGTTATTCATTGTCATTCCTCACTGCTAAGAGTCAAAAACCTGGAGGAAATGATCTCTAAAACCTTTCCATCAGAATTAAAATGAGTTGGCAACAGCTTTTCTACTCTACTTTGCCATGTACTGGAAATGAAGACAATGAAAAAGACACCTAATTGTTCAAAATACATCAATAACATTTAAAGGGCAAAGTATTTAATGGTATCTAATGAAAAAAATGTCTAAATCTATGTTTTTAACTAACATATATTCCTAAATCCTGAAAAAGACAACAGAACTGGCATAAATGAGATAATAGGATCAATTCATTTAAGTGAAATTTGATTATAAAAAAATCCTAAGACTCACTTGTGTATGAATGGATGAAACAGCAACAACTTCAACATTAAATACTCCCTTGTGATTATCTACCCACTTCATACCAGGTAGAGGAACCTGTAAGAAACCAAGCAGAACAATCACACACTTGCTAATGGATTACGAACTCATCAAACAGAAGTCCAAACCTAAAGAACTAATTTTGATTTGTTTTTTGATTTATTCTTTGAGAATTCCATACATTTATACAATGTATTTTGATAATATCTATCTTATACAAATATATACACTTTCTTTTGCTACACATAGCTAAAACTCTGAGTATACATAACAAATTAAAAACTTTGAAAATTGGAAAGAAGAACAGATAGACTGGCAAACTTTGCTTGAAAGTACCCCAAAAGTAATTTTCTTGTTTTATTTGTGCCTTATATACCCAGGACTGGGTGTGAGAGAAAGGCAACTCAAAGAGCCAAACAGGGGACTCTATCTAGCAAAGCCAACCATATCCAACCATCAGTGATCCATCATCCTTGCAAAAGATGAAAAAAAACAGAAAGACTTGAAGTCTTACCAAAACAAGCAGAATACATGCAGGATAACTCCTCCTACCCCAACCTGCTTTTTTAAATGTAGAAAAGAAAACCTACTACAGTCAGTTTCCCATTTGAAATTCCCACACAAAGTCAGAGATTCAATCCTTCTACTAAGGTGAAATATTTATCAACCAAGTGTGAGAACCTGCATTCTCTATCACACTACCCACATAAGTACCAGACACAAGAACACCTGCTCATGCCAGTACCTACACAGGTACCCAGGCACAGCAACACCTGCTTATTACTCCAGTAACCACACAGGTACCCAGGCACAACAACACCTGCTCACTCCAGTACCCACATAAGTACCTAGGCACAAGAACACCTGCTCACTCCAGTACCCACACATGCACCCAGGCACAAGAACACACCTGTTCACTCCATTACACACACAGGTACCCAGGCACAAGAACAGAAGAACAAGGGGAAGATGGTTAGCAGGAGGATATTGGGGGTTTGCTGGCTAGTTTAATCAGATAAACTGGGGAGCTCCAGGTTCAATGAAAGGCTCTGCTCAAAACAAAACAAACAACAACAACAAAAAAGGTAGCAAATGATCAAGGATGACCCAATGTTTAGCTCTGGCCTCTCCACATACAAATACATGTACATACAAATATACCACACATATATTCACTATGTAGCCCAAGCTAGCTTCAAACCTGTATCAATCCCTTGTCTTAGCTACTTAGGAATTAGTTTACTACCACATCTAGCTAAAAAAGGAAAATTGTAATTATCAATGAAAAGAAACTACTACTTCACTCACATAGAAGAAACAGCAAAGCTTTGTTTGGTAAACATCCTTACGATCAAAATCTTTTTTTCATTCAGTCTGGAGAACTAAATATTCGGAGATGCACTGACCTCAGGTGAAAGCACTGAATAAGCCTGGGGTGGTTTTTCCAACGAGACCGGTAGGCAGAACTGCCCAGTCTTCAACCGTCCATTCTGCAGCATGGGTATCCACTTTAAAGGAAAAGAGACATGGTCTGTTATAGAAATCACTATGTGGACAATCTGCTTTAAGAATGTGACACAACCCAAATTTCTCACATATCAATATGCAGTAGGAGTTTCAGTTACCTAAGCAATGGTGGGCCTTCAGCATTCAATTTTCCTGGTGATATTTAATTAGTGAAAATTTCTAAACTATGATTATTCTAATATGCAATATTTAGAATTTATGGGCCTTATTATCTAAGGAAGAGTCAGTTCTAGAAAAGGCTATAAAATGAATCAATTTAAAAACTGTTTCAAGGAAATTAGAGAAAATCAAGGGTTGGGGGGGAGTATGAATATAATTTATTCCCTTACAGTTACCATAATTCCTGTCACAATCATAAGAGACAAAAGTATTGAATCAAAAAAATACTGAATCAAATATGAAATCCATCTTTTGAATTGAAGAATAAATTTCACAATAAAATTGTGTGACGACACGTCATGCTGGTCTTCCCTGTTCTTTAACCTGGGAAATTTGACCATAATAATTTTTTTAGTAGCCAAAGGCTTTAATTTCTTATATATGGCTATATCTGTCTTACATTCAAATCATTCTATTAAAACTATTATGTTTATACTGCACTGTTAGGAAAACACTTGTTAATGAGAGCCAACTCGTAAGGCTTTATGATGCTGGTAACTAGCTAAGGATATTGGTGAGCATCTGTGATGGGGATGCTTCCTCACCAGTGTGAATTCTGACATGACCAAGAGTGAAACGGACAGTACTCGAGCAACAGAAAACATCTACTGAATACTAAATTTCATAATGTTTTTATTATATTTAAGATCCCTTAATTGAAATATTTAACAAAAAGACTTACTGTATATCCAACTGGGGTTTCAAGAGGAGTGTTTTGTTTCTGTTGACAACTAACATGATAAAAAGTAAAGAGCAAGTGGTGATGGTCAGTTAAGGTGGCAGGGAGTTTAACCTTGACTTCTTCATGAAAATCAGGAGACCTTCATACAAAGAAATCAAAAAAACACAAAAAATTCAATAGTCAGTAATTTGTTCAAAATGAATAATTATTGCATTTGCTTATCTGAATGATTTTAAGGTTAACTTTTAGGTTCATGCATTATTTTTCTTCTACTCCAGGACATTTTTTTTCATTGTTCTCAATTTCTAAATAATTAATTTCTACTTCCAGATAAAGGAGCTAACACTGTTTCTGAAATTGTTCATCACATTTCTTTTAATGAGCTGAGGCGCCCTACTATTAGAAAATTCATTAATAATTACTAGTATCTAGTGTCTAACAGAATAGTATACTAGATCTAGTATCTAGTATTGAAGAGCCTAGATACTGAGCTCTTCATCACACTAGATGCTGTACTACATTTATGAACCAAATCTGTACTACATTTATGAACCAAATCTGGCACACACTGCACAGAAAAGTCAAAGGAGTGTTGCAGGTATATACTTTTAAGCCATACTATAGGAAAATACTTTTCTTTTGTAGGAGTACAATCACCCTTTGAGAGGGTTATCTCTAAAGATACCTTAACATTGAAGTTAGGCTTTCTATGGAATGTTTTCTCTCAATTGTTCCATTGTTAGAAGGAATAAATAATGTTAGCAAACAGACTACTGCTGACACAAGAAGACGAAGAAAGTCACAATCAGGGAAAGCACACAAACTGCACTTGTCCAACAGCATAAAAATGCTCCTAAACATTACACTAATACAAAGAATGTCATGCTTGATGGTCAGGGTGCTTCATCTCACCAGGAGGGGCGTGGTTCTCAAGGGGCACTTTAATAAAATCATGGCTGGTTTTTCATGATACACCAAAGATACCTCAAAGGAGGTATCTCAATTCTCCATTGTCAGCATCTTTCTGAATTATATTCAGTGGAAATACAGTTAAGTCATATGGTTCCAACCACCTTTAAAGTGAAGGCTGTCTGTCCTTCCTGTCAGGTAAGGTTCTGTCTCATATGTCAACCAGTCAGCATTCTTCCTGTTCAAATTAGCCTCAAGACTACATTAACAGCTGTGGATTTGATCACAGAAATATTAAGTGGAACTAGGCCCTAAATAATAATAACAAGAAAGCTAATGCTGGCTGAGAATTTGATGACTGGCTGAACATTTCAGAAGGTATGTGTATCTTATTACTAAGCTCACCAATCATCAACGAATTATAAAAACCTGAATTTATAAGCAATGTCAGATGGTATTGTATTTTAGTTCCATTAATGTTTAAAATGATAATAATAATGACCCAGCCAAACTAAAAAACTTTTAGAAATTGTTATTTTTATAGAAATATATTTCCTGGTAGATAGTGTTTGGGTAAATTTCTTCCTGAAATCACATTAAAAATGTCTGTAGGAATTACTGATGTTTCTCATATTTAGGCTAATTGTTTTTCATTTTATTTTTGTGGTTGTTTTAAAGATAAATAATACAACAATTACCCTTAAAGCTTTACAACTTAATAGGAATATGAATTGGACACAGACGTCAAACGATATACTGTAAAACAAGGGTTAGCAAATGTTCACAGCCCAAGCCCAGTCCACTGCCTAGTTTTATACAGCCTGAAGATCATGAAATGGGCTTCATGTTTTTAAAAATCAAAATAATAATAATAACATATTTCTTAATATGAAATTCAAATTTCAGTGTCTATAATAAAGTTTTACTAGAACACAGACACACCAAATTACTCTAACATTATTTACTGACTATGTGCTTTTGTCCTATAGTGGCAGAGTTCACTGGCTGCAAGAGATGGTATGTGGCCACAGGCTTAGAACATATACCACCCAGTCCTTTGCAGAAAATGTTTGCCAACTCTTGATATAGAGCACATAAGGTTAACATTTCAAGAACAAAGCTAAGCAAATTATTTCAAGTTTGAGATCAGAATAAGATATTTGATACAGGACTAAAAGAGTGTGCAGAGTTAAGTAAACACGGGTCCAAGAAAGGCCCAGAAACAAGTGGCACAAAAGGCAGAAAGAATAGTATTAATACATAAAAGTTTGATTAGCTACCAGAGAACAGAAGGAAAATGTCAGACGTCAAATTCTGAACCAGAAAGATGGTGGTATCATTGTTAAAAATAGTCATGAAGACAAACATGGAAACCAAGAAGAGAAGACACACAAACCAGTGTGTCTCATCAGTCAATGAAAAGATTCTTGAGTACAAAGGGTCGGGACTAGAAATTCTTTGAGAGAGTTTTGTAAATAAAGTACAAGTGTTTGCACTGAATGTAGCAGAGAGAAGAAGATAGGATCACTTACAAAGAGTCATACATAGAGCAAAAATTATTAGCAAAGTCTTAGTATTTTGTGTGAAGTGCCTATACTTTAAAAAAAATCACTAAACATAGAAAATCTCAAAAAGCAGACAGAAACAGAAATGTTGACCAGATAAAGGTGAGAAAAAAGGCAGGAAAGAATGAGATTCCCTCTGAAAGTAATGGATGGAGCCATGAAACAACTGTGAAGGGCAAGAGGCAGGAGCTGACCCATATTCTGAAGAAGAGGAACAAGACTAGCAGCAGATGTGAATGAGCCACAGTGAGCAGGACAGAGGCCACTAGTACTACTGGAAGAGAAGGAAAGGCAGACAAGTATGGAGACAATCTAAGGCAGTGAAGAGAGAAACTTCACTATGTTGGACATAATTTGACAACCATTATCAGTAAGATAGAAATGCAGAAGAAAGAAAAGCTGTAGGAAATCCCCACAGCTACTGGTTCATGAGAGAAAAGGTGCAAAATAAAACCAGACCAAAATGATCACAAGACTACTGTAAAAGAGGGGCTAACCGAAGATAAACAAATGACTGTAGCCCCAACATGTGATACAACAGCACAGTTCAGCAACAGTAACCCAACAGGGCAATTTTGTGATTTTTTTTTCCTTAACTATATTCAATAACCACCCCCTCCAATACCATACACACAGAAAGAAGAAAATAAAAGCTCTCCAAGGTTAGCAATTTCCCATAGAAGTAAAACTGGAGGGCCACTAAATCAAAGGATGTGGGATGTTAAACACATCACCATTTCAACAGGCTTGAGCACAATAGAGTTCAACAAATTCAGAAGGTGCCTGGGGAAAATAATAGGCAAAGATCAAAGGATGAGAGGCCAAAATGTTAATCAATAACTATACAGAAAGAAACAGAACTTTTTTAAAAAGATATTTTTGTACAAAGCCTTACATTTGAGACGTCTACAAAGAACTATGCATCTATAGACTGAAAATTGTCATTTTGATGTCGGTTGTGAATCTGGCACATTCAGTGCAGCAAAGCATTTGGTAAACATACTAATGTGAATGCTAACAATGCCACTAAGAAGTGAGTAACTTTGAAAGAAATATTTTAATTCAGTACCTGTTATGATATACTACGGCTGTATAGGCTTCCTTTGAAAATTCTGAACAGCTAGATTTACCAAAGATTACCTGTAACAAATAACAGCATGTTGAAACTTGGTTGTAATAAATGCTGGATGTTTCATATCTATGTAAGAATTTGTATGCTTTAATAACTACTTGAGAAAATGGGCAAAATCAGCCCAGTGAAGAACAATGTGCCTACTTAACGATCTTTAAAAGCTTAACTGCTCGACTACAGATTTCTTTTCAATGATAGACCCATCTGACATTCAACCATTCAGAAAGCTTCTATAATTATACTTCTATCCACTGAGTAATAAGATACATTTTTGTCCTCTTTCCCTCCCCCACTTTTTTGAGACAGGGCTTCATGTAACTAAAGGTGTCTTGAACTTCACATGTAGTTGAGGACAGCTTTGACTCTAATGCTGAGATTATAGGCATGTGCCACCACACCTCGTTTTATGCAACCAGGGCTTTATGCCTACTAGGCAAGATTTCTAGCAACTGAACTACATCATCAACCCTATTTCCTTTTTCTTAAAGAAATTAAACATTCTGGGTATAATACATCATTTTGAACTCATAATAAGAAAAGTTACCCTTGCATGGTAGCATAAATACACTTTACAAAGTGGTGGCTTTAGTAAAACATGAGAGTAATTCTCAATGTCAAATACCACTTGTTTATAAATGATACAAAAGATTTTTAGGTCATGCTGTTTATCTTTTATTTCTTATACACCCTGCAAGGTACTTAATAATGGAGGTGCTTCATTTTAGACTTGTATTATTTTTAATATTCACCACATTAAAAAAAATGTAGAGTGCTTACATAGTAATCTTAGTGGTAAAACAACTGAGCCAGGAACACTGGTTAGTTAGAAACTTACGTTAACATTATTATTATTATGACTCCTATAACAATACACTTAAGAAATACCACAGATTAAACACTTTAAATCTGGTGGCTATTTTTACATATGCATGTCAGTACACTTCTATCATCAAACTGTGAAAATAACTCAGTTTATTCCTTTTGTAAAGGAGGGAATTGGCATTTTTTTCCTGACTTTCAAGCCAATGCTTCTACCTTTAAAGGAACAGCAAATACAGTAATATTTACTCCCTTTGATAAGCTTGATTTAGTCAATTTTCCAATGCCTTAGTATGTTTCTTTTCATTTTGTCCTTACTTTAATTTAAGATGGAATCCTACTATGCAGCCCAAGTTGGACTTGAATTTGATAGTCCAGGCTAGCTTTAAACTCTTGATCTTCCTGTATCAGATTCCCAAGTACTGGGATTAAAGGGATGCACCAACAGACCCTGTTACCTTAATATATTTTAGTAAAATTTTATTTTAGTGCCATAATTACAAACTTTACAGTTTTGTCATGCTAACAATAATATAATTAAAAACTTATAAGAAGACCCCTTGAATAGTCATATTTCAAAATCATCAATAAATGCATTATGCCCATATATGTATACACATATTTTCACAGCAGCCATTTACACAAACATAAAAATATTATATTATTATATAAATAATAATGTACAGATGCAAGGAAGCCAGCACTTTTTCCCTTTAGAAGCTATCTCTTTTCACAAAGCAAAATATTTATCTATGCAACCAGAACAGAACAAAGTGGAATATATTCCATTTTGATTATTGGGATGTATTCTGGTCCCTGAACAACACAGTGGAAAGCATTATGATAAGCATCAAGATACAGATATGAATGAGACAGGGTCCCTGCCCTCAAGGAGCTCACAATCTAATGAATACAATGAATAAGCATGCAACCATATTGTGAAAGAAAATGCTGTCCTAACACCAAAGAGGGAGGGGTCTAACTGCCAGTATAGGTAGGAGGCACCCATTGCTATATGGAAGAAGCTAGGAATATGTTAAGACATGGAAGACTTTGGTAAGTAAACAATGCAACATTTTTTGACATATAAGACATCTTTCATAAAGTTCAAATCCACATGGCAATTCATATAGAGTATCACATTATTATTTGCTTTCACAGTATATTACCTCAATTAAAACAGCACATTTACTCATTTAGTAGAAATAAGGATCTGATAATAATGCTAATTTCAAGCCTCAGAAATAAATTCCACACCTATTCAACAAATACTTTTTCAACTCAACATGGTATATGTAAAAATCTGAAATAGTTGTCACAAGAGAATACAAAGATGAATAATTTGTGTTCACTGATGTCAAGGAGATCTACAAGTGGATACAACTGAGGCAACAGGGAAGAAGAAAATACGTATTTCATATTGAGTAGAAAAAAATACAGAACTTGATTAAAAGACAAATTTGAAGGATAATATGAAGCCCCATCAACAATGTACCCATGCTCAGCTAAGCATGCTCATTACATTGTCTGAGGCTAAATCTGTCAGAGCGTATGCCCATTCTGGGTTAGCAACTTCAATTGCCCCAAAATCTCTACTGTCACAGAACTTGAATTCATTAGCAATGGCAATTGTGGTAGTCAAGAATCATTACAAGCTAGTCACAATAGATCTCTAACTTATCTTACATCACTCGTGACTAATGGCAGCTTCACTGTATTCATCACTCTCAGGGACAGTCCTAGACCTCCAGTGCTCCACTATCCAGACTCACTGCAACTACCATTTCACTTTAGAACAGGAACTTCTTCATAACATTCTCATTTGTCATCTGTTAGGCATCCTTTCCTGTCTCTGAATACCTTTTCCTTTGACTCTATATGTCCTCCAATAACACATATCACAGCTCTCAACATTTGGTACAAATTTTAATCACTTGATAAGAATCTCTTTAAATTGCTACTTAGTTTAGATGCCACAAAGATGAGTTAATTACAATGAGATTTAGCCTGGACACTAGTTTTAACAACTCCCTAATGTGTAACCGAGATGGTCAGTCTCTTGACAAAATTGGAAAGAGCCACATATATTAGTCTCCAGGGGCCATCTGCAAATGACAACATCACTTCCTCACCTGCCATTCAAGGGGGCGGGGGACGACACATGATGTACTGAGGAAAATCAGAATCACAAGTGCCAAAAGGAAAGGAAAGGAAAGTTATCTGTTCTTTGAGAGTGCTCTCTAGATGGTCTTGGCTACTGTCTCTCACTACATTATATTCTCTAGATTATAGATTTATTCATCTTTGCATCTCTATGGGTGCTTAACATATGCCAAGTACTCATAAACAATTATAATTAAGCATATTACTATATTCAGGAAATTTTGCAGTTAGAAATTTTGTTTAAAGGATCATATTAAATTCCAGTTTAGAGAAAAAAGAAATTCCAGTTTAGAGCTGCCAGTCAGTGATATAAAACAAAACGAAACTTCATCTATTTGAATAAATTATGAAAAAGAGAAACAGTAAAGAATGTTTCTTACCGGCATTGCATTACTCGGATCTTCTCCATACATAAACTGGACCTTCACTGTGATGTTTCTGGCAGAACCTTGACGGTTGGCAAAATTAAGACTTTGAGGGTAAATATAGAGAAGATTTCTGTAAAACAAAAAGTATAAATTATAGTGAGCCTATCTAAGACTACTGTGTGTAAAAGTTATAGTGAATACGTATCTAAGAATGTTGTATCTTTCACTAAACATCACAAAAAAACTAACATGCAAAATTACTCAATTACTATTTGTCAGTACCTGTATTGATTATTTTCATGTACTTGATCCTTAGAAATATTCAAACACACAGCAATCAAATGTACCCTGATCCTACACAATACTAAAACCCAGAAAGTTAACTGTTACTCATATGCAATGAGGTTAAACATCAATGCAGAAGACAGACAATAAACCAGCAAGACTCCAAACATTCTCTTTCCTCCATAAGAGGCTTCTGGGAATTAAGATGAGCCTAAACATT